TCTCTCTCTCTCTCTCTCTCTCTCTCTCTCTCTCTCTCTCTCTCTCTAGTGTAGGGCTGCAACTCAACGATTATTTTCATTATCAATTAGTGTCCCAAATGTTCGATGAATTGATTAATTGTTGTTCTGTAAAATGTTAGATATCTTATAAAAGTCTCTAAAATGTTGGCTTATTAAATAGAGAAAAAAGCCCATTTCACTAGGACACAAGTTGACATATAAACAAGTGAATATTCACATTATAGAAGCTGAAATGCATTACTTGCATTACATGTTGGACATTAAGGCAATAACAGGGACAATGAAGGGCTTTCATAAAGGATAAGTCTGGTAGTATTCTAATATATTTTCTTCCTACAAATCCAATGAAAAGCCCAAAGCCAACAATGTATGCTACTAACAAGTAGTCTGTGTAGCCAAAGCCTGATACTTCCGCAGCATAAACGTCTGCTGTTGATCAAAAACTGAGCCCCACTGTTGCAGTGGTTCCTTCATCATTATAAACATGGGCACTGTGGTTTATTCTCACGTCAATCCCACATACACCGCCCTGCTTCTGTAGATACTCACTTAAATACCAAGTGAAAATAGTCCCCATCTTCATGAACTGTTTACTCAAGTTTATGTATCGTTTGCTAAGAACTAGACAGTCTTAATAAGTTGGAATGTATTGAAAGACATACTAACACATGATTGGTTTCGTCCTTTAGAAGGCAACAAGATCTTTGCTCAGGTGTCCTTCAGCAAAACACTCCAGTAGCTTCAGTCGTGCTGCTCTGTAACTGACTGTGACCTCTGAGTTTCCAGTTGGATATAATCAATTAACTACCACATAATTATTAAAGTGGAGGATGGCTCATTTGAATTCAACCCTGTGGCTGATTAAAGTCCTGATGGCATGCAACATATTTCCACTTGCATACAGTTGATGGATTTTAGTTTAGTCTTATTATGGTTTCATCAGTTCAGATAGGGCCTACTGTCACCAGGGTAAACTGTTTAGTTGTTCATGCTGTTCTCATTTACTGCTGTACTTATACCTACCGAAAGTGTTCGGTGCACGATCATTTGTGTGTAACCCACGTAATGGTGAGCCAGGACGTGCAGGGCTTCCTCGAAGGAAGTCAGGTGATGTAGTATAAAGAGCGTCAAAGTAACTTCAGCCCAGGCCAATGTCCTCCATATGTAGGCTACTGTAAAGTTGTAATCTTTGTCTGTTTACTTATTTTTTCATTTTTACTATGCAAAAAAACTGCTTTATCAAAATCCAAGTGTCTTCAGTTTTCAGATTTCATTCAATTAAAGTTACAGGAACACATATTTATAGGCTATATATATATTTTGTTTGTGTTTGATTGGCATCTGTAATGACCTCAGAGCTGTGCCAGGTCTTGTGTTGATGACAACAGTGTTTCGATGGGGAATAGCACCTTACTTACCTTGTTACTTTGCAGCATTATACTACACCTTCCTTCAGAGCTTTTCCCCTTTAACGCCTGAGCAACACTACCTACGCGAGCAGTGCATGTGCGTCACAGAACCTTTTGGGATATTTTTCAACATCCATGTTAACAAGTTAGAGCATCCACACCTCCTGCTTGAGCAGCGTGTCTCAGGATCAGCTCACATTACATTGTGTCTGAAAGAGCCATCCCGAAAAAGACAGTGTGGCAAGTGACGGTGAAGGTTTTACACATCAGCCCTTCCTGACACCACAGAGTGTTATTCAATGAGCACACACACTTTTTCTCATTCTGGGCCCAAAGGTCAGATGTCTATAAAAGTAGCCCATCAGTCTTTCTTAGGGGGCAGAGCTGTCAAAGGGCACACTTAATCTTCATGCAAAGTACCGTTAACCTCCAACACAGACAAATAATACAAAGTGAAACAAACAAATGAGTCTGCTGTGCAGAGGAACTCAGAGATAATGGAAACATTCAGAGCTTCCCTCCGCCTCTCGCCCTCCCTATTCTACCTTTCTGACCGTTTCCGACACACACACACAAACACGGTCATCAGACGGTATATGATGCGGTGACAGATTTCTGATTATATCCATCTTGAGTATAGGGGGGAAGCAAAAATGTTAGCTTCACAAAAAAAAGTCAGGTGGGGGTTTTCAGTGTATCTCTCAGTGCCTTCCTTTTCTCGATGAATGTGAAAAATGAGGGCAGGAATTGTTGTGACGCCTGAGGAATTGCTTTTCCGGCCATTTTCATTTATCAGTAAAGTAAAGACATTGGGTACATATTAGCAATGACTTCCTGGTAGAAACTACACAAGGGCATCTGTCGAGGAACCAGTGCGCTATGGTAGAGAGGAAGATGACTGAAATAATCAATTAAGATGACATGGGTGGATGTCAAACAGTTTCTAACATTCCCTGTCCCATATTTCTGAATCATCCCTAGATATTTTAGATTTCGGGAAATCGCAGAAAGAAAGTCATTTTCAGACCGTATAAGCCATGAGGCTGAGTGGAATCAGTAAATCATGACAGAAATGTCTGTTTGGTGGTACAGGAAGTGTGGGGCTGGCTCAATCAGTCTGACAGCTTTTAGGCTCAACTCAATTAGTCCAAAATGCTCATGACTCAGTTTTGTAAACACAAAAAAATCTTAATTACCACATTTTGACAGATTTATCTTTCTGGGAAATGGATACTTGCAATTATCTTCATTCTACTGAACTCAGTTTTTCAATTCAGACATTATTCTTTGTCAGCTTGATACCTGACAATGTGGTTTGCACTATTTTCATCATCTGAATGCACTTGTGGAGGTAAGAGGTGTACTGCTGAGTAATTAAAGGAAAATATCAACAATGGTTTATGACATGAAGAGCCATCAATTTTTCCCTGGGTGTGTGTGAGGTGCTGATGAAGACAACCATCACAGACAGCATGCAACATTAAGCGTTTCACTTACTGTGAAGTTTTAGTTCAAGGGGAATTTAAGCCCTTATCATTAGTTCCATCAAACAAACCAATAGGTGGGGGGGGGCTCTCACCCGGTAGAGTGTCCGATACCAAGTTTATCTCTCAGCGGTTACCTACTTTCAGGTTTGTGGACTGTGACTTTCAGAGCATAGTTTCAAAGGTTATTGTCACAAATCACAGCAGCAAAGCGATGGTAAATCAAATGATCATCATTTGAAATAACGGTGTGATGTGAAGCAAGATGTTTCCGCTAAGATTGCTATTATCTGTCTGTGTTGTCATTTCCTGTATTTTTATATGTAACCAAGGATAGTTGATGGAGGATTATAATGGTTTGCAAATACAGCCTTTACCAATACAAACTCTCTGTGGTCCTTAAACCTTGAACTGTACCACAATATAACCATGTATACATGTTTCCAATTATTCAGATTCATTAGGCCAATCAACCGGAACAACAACATGAACACACAGGGGACATGAGGAAGCAATTAGCTCCATTTATCTGATTTAGGCCACAAAACCTGCTCTCTCTCTCTCTCTCTCTCTCTCTCTCTCTCTCTCTCTCTCTCTCAAAATGGTCTTCTGAGCCTTTTAGCATGGCGAGGGTAAGTATGTTGTTTTCAAGTCTAGCAGGTGAATCGTACCAGATGTCTTATTAGTGTGTACTGTAGGTGTAAGCCACTTATCACACTGTATGTTCGCTAGCTCACACTCCCTGAGAAATATTGCCACTAGATGGGGTAGAAGAGTTCATATCAGGGTGAGTAATCATTCATCTGGAACGTCTGAAGACTATCTTTAACTAAAAGACAAAATGGCAGAAAGAGAGGGAGAAAGACACTGCCCCCATTCTTTTTTTCAATTGGGGAAAGGGTCCTCTTCTTTTTCAAACAACCTCGAAATGGAAGCTACAATAGCCTCAGGCCTGAGCTCTCTTCTGTCTCTAGAGGCCAACACCGGGAACCCAGTGTCTTCCCTGAAGATCAAACTGCAGATGTGAGAGTATTTCTTGCATATTTCTCCCCATATTTCTCCCTTCACACGCAATAGACGGGACCGACAGAGGGAAGCAAGACAGACGACATGTTTCCTGAGACAAAGACGATTGGATCACTGAACCTGACATCCGTATGCCACACAACGATTATTTTTGCCTAGGGAAAACAAGAGTTGAAACTACAAGCTTTGAACCGTAGGTAACACAACAAACAAAGGATTCCATGTACTCTGTTACATGTTCAATGCAGTTA